TGGGGAAAGAGAGAGGGAAATGCGGCCGGGAAAATAGGATAAAAAGGAGGCTGCGTCCTCCGAAAATTTGAGAGATCCCAGGGGAATGTCCCATGGCCTCTCCCTTTATTCGAATAAAGCAAAAAGGGCTCCTCTGTCTCCTTTTTGGACATAAACCTCTGGTGTTTGTGGATTAATTTTCCTGACACCATTGAATTTTCCAAACCAGAGAAATACAGAGCCCTGGCAGTACACAGTAGTGACACAGAACAGGGCAGGGCAAGGAGATGCCAAAATTTTAACTTCTACTTGCATTTAAGAACTTTTGTTTAGAGTTCTACTATAGCCACTATTAACAGTCAAAGATACTAAAAATACTAGTAATTATCATAACAACTGTAATGTTAATAGCAAAACTAGAGATAATAGCAATAATAAGAATTAATGGTGATAAAAACCCTGCCATACTTATACTAGGTTTGCATGGCCAGGTATTGGTAAGGGGGGCTCTAGGAGCACCTTCTGTGAGAGGCTGCTAGAAGAAGCTGCTCCTCCATGTCCTGCAGAGTCAATGCCAGCCAAAGCTGGGCCAGTTAGAAATGCTGGTAATGCCTTTGGGATAACAGATTTAAGAAAATGGGTTCTCGTGTAGTTGTAACTGTGACCAGGGAAGGGCAGAGTGAGAACATGTGAGAGGAACAACTGTGCACACAGGCAGGGCAGGGCAGGAGGAGGGGCAGGAGCTGCTCCAGGTGCTGGAGCTGATTGCCCTGAGATTCCGTGGTGCAGTCCGTGGTGAGGCAGCTGGGCCCCTGCAGCCCATGGAGGGCACAGAGGGCAGAGATGCACCTACAGCGCCTGGAGGAGCCCGTGCCCGAGTAGGGGAATGCCTCAGCAGAGGCTGTGACCCCATGAGAAACCTGTGCTGGAGCAGGGACCTGGTAGGACTAGTGAGCCCATGGAAGTGTGACCCACGTTGCAGCAGTTTGTGAAGAACTGCTGTCCGTGAGGTGAACTCACCTTGGAGAAGTTAATGGACAAGTGTCTCTGGGGGAGACCCATGGTGCAGCAGGGGAACGACTCCTCTACTCGAGCAGCAGAAGAAACAACACGTGATGAACTGACCAGACCCCCCATTCCCTGTCACTCTGCGCCCACTGGGGGAGGAGATAGAGCTGGGAAGGAGAGAGGGATTAGCAGAGGGTGTTTTTAAAGCTTTATTTTACTTCTCATTATCCTGCTCTTATTTTGATAAGAATAAACTTGATTAGTATCTCTAATTTTGAACCTGTTTTTTCCATGATGGCATTTGCAGAGTGATCTGTTCCAGTCCTTATCTCAACCCATGAAGACTTAATTCTATTTTCTGTCCCCTGTCCATCTCTGGAAGGGCGCAAGAGAGCAGCTTTGGTGAGTGCCTGGCATCCAGCCAGGGTCAACTGACAACACATCCTTTATTTCATTCTTTCTTTCCAGAGTTTACCGTGAAGAGGCTGAGTGGGACTTTGATAGAGGGAGTGAAGGTGGTGGGGAGCAATGGGGACAGGAGCCACAGGAATGGGGGAAAGGCATCAGAGGTGCCCAGGCAGCTGGCAGGGGCCAAGGCCTGTCCCCCTGGCCCAACAGCAGCCCCGTGCCCTGCCCAAGGCGCTCCCACCAGGGGCTGGGCCCAGATGCAGGGGGAGACCTCAGTTCCGGGGGCAGCGTTTCTGCCCCGACCCCCGTCCAGCCCAGCCTCCCCCAAATGCGCAGTGACCACTGGCACGGCTGCACTGGACAGCGTGACCTGCTGGGGACACTGAGAGCTGCCCCCACTGTGACACTGCCCTTGGGATTTCACAGGCACCAAACAAATCACAGCCAGTCCCACTCCTTGTCGCGTTCCACAAACTGGAGGGCATCAGAGCCAGCCCTGCCCCTTGTGATGTCACAGACACCAGAGCACATCACAGCCCAGCTCCTTGTGATGTCACAGGCCCTACGAGTGTCCCGAGTGTGAGGAGGAGTTCAAAGAGAGCTCAGCCTTGACAAAATACCAACAGAGGCACCACTAAGGGAAGCCCTGCAAGTGCCCCGAGTGTAGGTAGAGCTTCGTGCGCTGCTCCAGCTCCATTCCCCATGGGAGGATTCGTGTTGGATGATCTTCAGTGATCCCCGTTGGGCAGAGCCCCAGTGACTCGTCTTGCTGGTGATCCGTGTTGGGAAGACACCTGGCTGGGGGGTTCCACATCCTCCTGGTTCCCCATGGTCTGGATTTTCTTTTCATTTCTCTTTGTCCTTTCAAAACACCCAAAACCGGGGTAAAAATAAAGACGTTGAACTAAGACATGGATGGGGATATGGGGGAATCTTCCAGTGGTTGTGGGGGATGATGTGTTCGAAGGAGTTGAGGGTTCTTGGGAGGGACTTGGGGGTTGCTCAGGGCTTTGGGGACCTCAGGCCAAGCGGCTCCGGGTGTGCTGGGAGACCCTGGCGGAGGTTCTGGGGCAGCTGATCAAGGACATCCTGCCCTGGAACTGTCCTCATGTCCACCCATCCCAGTTCCCGGTGTTACCTGTCCAGGATTGTCCTCTCCACACTCTCTCTCCCCTTGCCCTCCACCCGTTCCCGTGTAACCCCACTCCCAGTCCCATCCTCCTCCCACCCCAATCCGGATCCCATTCCCGATCTCATTCACTGTTCCGTATTCTTTATCTGGTTGCCATTCCCATATTCAGAGTCCCATACTCCCTGCCCTGTTCCCGTATTTCGATTTCTATATCCCTTGTCCAGTTCCCATATTCCCATTCCCTGTCCCTCTCCCCTCTCGCCGCCCCCATACTTCCGGTCCCACCCCGGCCCTCACGTGATCGGGTCCCGCCCACCAATCACAGCACACGAGCGCTCCCTTATTTGCATAACCACACCCTTTAATTTGGCCCCGCCCAGCGCCGGCTGCAGCCGGGGCTGGGCGCTGTTTCTGCCAGTAAGAGCGGTACCTGGGGGGAAAGCCCTCCCAATTCCTTCCTGGTGCTCTCAGGATCGCTCCCGATGCTCCCAGGATCCCTCCCAGTGCCGCGCGAGGCGGAGCCGGTTCGGCATCACCCCAAGGGCAGAGCGCGGCTGCTTCCGGGTGTGGGCACCTGCCCGGGCCGGGCTGGGAGCGGAGGAGGAGCGGGAGGAAGAGGAGGAGCAGGAACAGGAGGGAGAGAGGAGGAGGAGGAGCGGAAAGAAGAGCAGCGGCAGAGCCACGCGGTTTACCCAGCTGCCCGTTCCCCCGGGTCAGGTAGCATCCAGCCCCCCCCGGAACCCGTAGGTGAGCGGGGAAGGTGAGCTCGACCCAAATCCATCGGAGGGTCTCCGGGAGGGATATTTTTGCGGGCAGGGGATGTTTGGATCTTGCTGGACTCCAAAGCCGAGTCGGAAATGCCCCCTGGGGGATCTTGGGGGTCCAACGTGGCGATCGCCCGGTACCGGCGGAGAGCGGGGGGCGATATCGGGTCTGGGTATCTCCGGGAGAGTCCGGGGTGGAACGTGGGAGCCCCCGAGTGAGGAGAGCCGGAGGGGCGATCCCGGAGCCGGGGGACCGCTGGCAGCCGGGAGGAGTGGGGGAGGCTGGAGATGACTGGGGTCCGGGCCCCCCGAGGCTGAAAGGGGCAGTGACTTCTCAAGCTGGACCTGGGCAGCGGGACGGTCAAACCCAATGTACTCAGGTCTTGTTTTTCCACCCTAACCAGATTTCCCTTTCCCAATCCTTGGCCGGATGGAGGAGGAGGAGGCCTCGAGGAAGATGGCCCGGGAGCCCCAGGCAGGTGAGGAGGAAGTCAGTGCCCCGTGCCGCTTTCCCCGTCTGTCCTGCTCCACCTCCCAGCCCAGTATCACCCTTGCCTGCAGGACAACCCTGCTGCTGATGCTGTCCTGCTAGAGACACACTGGGGGGATCTCCTTCCCATTCCCTCTGGCATGGAGGCAAATCCCATCCTCTGCTTGTCCTTCCGCCCCCAGACAAGGAGTTGAGGATGGAGACCACGGAGGACAAATCTCCTCGGCAGAACCTCGTGGAAGAGGCCGTTTGGAGCGGCTCCACGGCGCAGGAATCCAGTGGGGAGGAAAAGCCCCGAAGATCCCGCATGGGGGGGGGCTGCAAACGCAGATCACGGACATCCGAGGAGGAAAGCCCCAGCCTGGGCTGGGGAGGTGGCCAGAGCTTGGAGCTGGGGGTCCATGAGCAGCTTCACGATGGGGACAAATCCCACAAGTGCTCTAAATGTGGGAAGAGCTTCAGCCAGAGCTCCAACCTGATCCGCCACTGGAGAATCCACACGGGGGAACGGCCCTATGAGTGTGGGGAATGCAGGAAGAGGTTTCAGACCAACTCCACTCTCCTCAGGCATCAGCGGACCCACACAGAGGAGAAGCCCTTCTGCTGCCCTGAGTGTGGGAAGGGCTTCAAGCACAACTCGGCCCTTGTCACCCACCGGCGCATCCACACCAGGGAGAGGCCCTATGAGTGTCCTGAGTGTGGGAAGAGCTTCAGCCAGAGCTCCACCCTGACTGCCCACCAGAGGATTCACACAGGGGAACGGCCCTATGAGTGTGGGGAGTGTGGGATGAGCTTCAGGACAAGCTCTGAACTGACTGTCCACCAGAGGATTCACACAGGGGAAAGGCCCTACGAGTGTGGGAAGTGTGGGAAGAGCTTCAGCCGGAGCTGCCACCTGATCCGCCACATGGGAATCCACACAGGGCAATGGCCCTACGAGTGTGGGGAGTGTAGGAAGAGCTTCAGGACAAGCTCCGAACTCATTGTCCACCAGAGGAGCCACACTGGGGAGAGGCCCTACGAGTGTGATAAATGCAGGAAGAAGTTTAACACCAGCTCCCATCTCCTCCTCCACCAGCGGATTCACACAGAGGAGAGGCCTTTCCGCTGCCTCGACTGCAGCAAGGGCTTCAGGCAAAAGTCTGGCCTCGTCAAGCACCAGCGCGTCCACACTGGGGAGAGGCCTTACAAGTGTCCTGAGTGTGGGAAGTGCTTCTCACAGAGCTCAGCCTTGACCCGACACCAACGGAGGCACCTCAAAGGAAGCCCTGCAAGTGCTCCGAGTGCGGGAAGAGCTTCGGGCACTGCTCCAGCTCCATCCCCCATGGGAGGATCCGTGTTGGATGATCCCCAGTGACCCCTGGTGGGCAGAGCCCTGTGATCCATGGTGGCAGTGATCTATGTTGGTTGCCCTGGCTGGGCACCTCCACATCCTCCTGGCTCCCCGTGGGCACCTGGACACATCCACAAACCAATGTCAGAAATCCATTGTGGAGAACTTAATTTGTCGACTTCTGACCCCAGAAAAATCGCACTTTTTGCTTCTTCTGGTGGTGTCAAGTAACACTGGATGGCCTTGGAGATTATCTCCAACATATATCCATTGTTTTAATTTTCTCTGGCCCAGCATCTTCCACAGCCAAATGGGGATGGATTGGGGAAAAACTCACGATTTTGGAGATGGTGAGGTGGAAACCCCTCCAAAAAAGGTTCTTTCCGCCCACCCAAGCGTGTGGATGCTCTTCTGGCAGGGACATGTAAATAATTTTATTTTAGCCTTGAAACGAAAGGTTTTTGTTCCTCCCTTTGAAACCTGTGAAACTGGGGTAAAAATAAAGATGTTGAACTAAAAAATGTGGGAAATGTGGGGAACGATGACATGAGTGGGGCCATGGGGGGACATGGCCATGGATGGAGACACAGCCATGGATGGGGACCTGGGGACACATGGGGAACAGGGATGGGGACATGGGAGGACACAGACATCCAAAGGGACATGAGAGAACATGGACATGGGTGGGGACATGAACTGGGACAACATCAATGCCACCACAGTGCCACCAGCACCTTCATCTTGGCCATAATGAAGCGCTGCCTGATGCAGTTCATGGCACCAAGTCCTCACTACACCACATGGTGTCCCAGCTGAATGTCACCACCCACCTGGGCAGGATGAGGAACTTGCTCAACTGGTGAGAAGTAGCCTGGAAGCAAGTGACAGCCACCACAGTGTCCCAGGGGCCAGGGACCAGGTAGAGAGGGCTCACAATCTGGCTGTACTCAGGGAGGGATTTTTGGGGTGTTTTGATGAGGAATTGGAGGGGTTTGAGGGGGTCCCAGCTGGGTTTTAGGATGAATTTGGGGAATTTTGGGGAGATCCTGGATGGGTTTAGTTGAGGATTTGGTGGATTTTCAGGATCCCAGTTGGGATCTGGGGGCTCCCTGAGGGGTGGAATTTTGGGTTGAATTAGTGGAATTTTGGGGATTTCCAGTTGAATTTGGGGGGGGGGGGATTTTGGAAGATCCAGGTGAGTTTTGAGGGTTTCAGGCAGATTTTGGGGAAAATTTGGGAGATTTGGGGTTCCTGGGTAAATTTTGAGTTGAATTTGTGGGATTTTGGGAGTCCCAGTTGAATCTTAGGGTGAGTGTGGAAATCTGTGAGTTGCAGGCGAATATTGCGGTGAATTCTGGTGATTTTGGGGGTCCCAGGTGAGCATCTGAGAGTCCCAGGTCAATTTTGGGATGAATGGGGGGAACCAGGTCTATTTTAGGGTAAATTTTGGTGATTTTAGGAGTCCCAGATGGGTCTTGGAGTGAATTTGGTGGATTTTGGGGTATCTGGGGGAGTTGTGAGGAGGATTTTGGAAGGGACCCTCCTGGGGGACTTTTTTGAAGATTTGGGGGATTTTGGGGTTCCTGGATGGAGTTTGGGGGATAGCAAGTGGGATTTGGGAGGTCTGGGTGAATTTGGGGGATTTTGGGGGTTTCCAGGTGGGCTTGGGGATTTCAGGATGAGATTTGGAGGAGATTTGAGGGATTTTGGAGGGTTCCAGGTGAATTTTGGGGTGAATTTGCGGGATTTTGGGGGAGTTTTGAGGAGGAATTGGAGGGGTTTTAGGAGGTGCCAGATGGGATTTAGGGTGAATTTGGGGAATCTGGGGGGTTCCTAGATTGGTTTAGTTGAGAATTTGGTGGATTGTGGGGATCCCAGGTGGGATGTGAGGGGTCCCAAGTGGAATTTGGGGTTCAATTTGTGGAATTTTGGGGTCCCAGGTGGATTTTGGGCTGAATTCGGGGGATTTGGGGCATCGGGAATTGGAGGGTTGCAGGTGAGCATTTGGGAGTCCTGGGTGAATTTTGGGAATAATTTTGGGGGTTCCAGGTGGATTTTGGGGTGAATTGTGGTGATTTTGGGAGTCCCGGATGGGTCTTGGAGTGAATTTGGGGGATTCTGGGGCATCTGGGTGGGTTTTGAGGGGGATTGGTTGCATTCTTGGGGTAAATTTGGGAGGTTTTGGGAGGGACCAGGTTTTGGGGGAGATTTGCGGGATTTTGGGGCTTCCAGGTAGGACTTTGGGGTGATCTCTGGGGCTTCGGGGGTCCCGGGTGAATTTTGGGGTGAATTTGTGGCATCTTGAGGGTTCCAGGTGGAATCTGGGGTTCCAAGTGTGATTTTGGGAGATGCAGGTGGAATTGTGTGGGGGATTTGGGGGATTTGAGGGAATCCAAGCTGGATTTTTAGGGTGAATTTTGGGGGATCCATGTGGGATTTTGTGGGTCTCAGGTGAGGGTTTGGGGGATGCAAGGTGGAATTCTGGGGTGAATTTGGAGAATTTTGGTGGAATGTTGGGGCTCCAAGGTGAATTTTGTGGGTCCCAACTGAATTTCGGAATGAAGTGGTGGGATTTTGGGTGTCCCGGGTGGATTTGGGGGTGAATTTGGGGGGTTTAGGGGCATCTGCGTGAGGTTTTGGGGGATTTGAGGGATGTGGGAGTTCCTGGATGGGTTTTGGGGTGAAATTGCGGGGTTCTGAGAGGGATTAGCAAGATTTTGAGGGCTCCTTGACGGATTTTGGGGGCATGGGAACGATGTTGGGGGTGTCGCAGATGGGTTTTGGGGGATCCCTGAGGGATTTTGTTGAAGATTGAGGAATCTGCGAGGATCCCATGTGGGGTTAGGGGGGTCCCTGAGGGGTTTTATTGAAACTTTCAGGAGTTTTGGAGGTTCCCGGGTGGGTTTGGGGGTTAGTTTGTGGGATTTTGGGGGATCTCAGGTATATTTTGGTGAAATTTGAGTCATTTTGGAGGATCCTTGAGGGGTTTTGGAGGGCTGTTGGAGGTGAAATTTGGAGAACAACTTAATAATTCAATTGAACAGCGCTTGAAACCTCCCCCCTCCCCCGTCCATGGCCGGCTTTCTCATTTTAAAAGCCAAAACAGCCTCGGGTCGCCCGCCGCGGCGCCAAGTAGAGCCTTAATTGATGGCCATGAGCCCCCCGCCACTAATGAGGTTCGTTAAATTAACTGAATGAAGGAATGAGTGGCTCAAACGCCGCAAGACCCGCCCAAGCTCGACCGCTGCTAGCGCTGGACTGAGGGTTGAGGGAGCCTCGGCGCCCCTTTGATCATCTCGGTAGCCCCTCCCCCTTTGCCGCCTTTCAGCCAATCACGACGCCGCCTGCCTGAGAATAGCCCGCCCTTTTTCCCGCCCTGTTCTTTCTCGGTCAGCCAATCAGCGCACGGGTCTGCCCTCGGCAACAGACGCTGGCCAATCAGAGAGCGTTACAGAAAGGGCAGGAAACGCTTTGCCAACGAGAGCGTCGGGTGCCTCAGGGCACGCGGCCAATCAGATCGCAGCGGCCGCGAGGGAAGAAGGGCGCAAAATGGCGGCCGAAAGCAAGTGGGGCAGCGGTTGGTGCGCTTTTGGGGGTCCCATTTGGGTTTTGAGGGGGATTTGAGGGATTTTGGGGGGTCCGAGATGGGTTTGGGGGTGAATCTGGGGGGCTTGAGGTGAATTGGAGTGAGAGGAATGTTGAATTTGTCTTTACAAATGAGTTGTGGATCAGCCTGTAGATAAGGCTAGCACTGAGAGATAAAAGAAACAATGGGATGGATTCCACTGATTGATGAATGGAAAGAGATATTTGCCTTTACAAACAAACTGTAGGGCTGCTGATAAATGAAATTGGATATCGAAAGATGAAAGTAGCAACGGGGGGAAAACTATGAATTCTATAAGAATTAAAAATTAAAAGGGAGGGTTATACATTAGAGGGGAATTTCAGGTATCAGGCGTTCTGGGAAGTCTGTGCTTCTCAAGTACCTCAGCCCATGGGGAAAGAGAGAGGGAAATGCGGCCGGGAAAATAGGATAAAAAGGAGGCTGCGTCCTCCAAAAATTTGAGAGATCCCGGGGAATGTCCCATGGCCTCTCCCTTTATTCGAATAAAGCAAAAAGGGCTCCTCTGTCTCCTTTTTGGACATAAACGTCAGGTGTTTGTGGATTAATTTTCCTGACAGGAGGGATTCTGTTAGGGGATCCCTGATGGACTATGTTGAGGATTGGAGCCATTTTGGGGGGATTTGAGGGATTTTGGGGGGTCCCAGGTGGGGTTATGGGGGTCCCTGAGGGGTTTTCTTGAAAATTTCAGGAGTTTTGGGGATTCCCAGTTGGATTTTGGGGTGAATTTGTGGGATTTTGGGGCATCTTGGTAGTTTTTAGGGTGAATTCTTGAGGTGGGCTTTGGGGCTTCTGGGTGGGTTTAGAGGGAGATTTGAGGAATTTCGGGGGTCCCTGACAGGTTTTTGTGTGAATTGGGGGGAGTTTTGAAGGGCATTTTGGAAGCGTCCATGAGGGATTTTATTGAGGATTTGGGGGATTTTTGGAGCTCCCAGATGGAGTTTGGGGGATTGCAGGTGGGATTTGTGAGGTCTGGTTGAATTTGTGTGATTTTGGGAGGTCCTAGGTGAACTGGGGGTTTCGGGGGGGGGGTTGAGGAAGAATTGGAGGGGTTTCAGGGGGTCCCAGATTGGTTTTCGGGTGAATTTGGGGAATTTTGGGGGTTCCTGGATGGGTTTAGTTGAGGATTTGGTGGATTTTGGGATCTGAGGTGGGATTTGGGGATTTCCAGTTGGGAGTAGGGGGGGTCCCTGAGGGGTTTTGTTGAAATTTTTGGGCGCTTTGGGGGTTCCTGGGTGGGTTTTGGGGTGAATTTGGGGGATTTGGGGGCATTTGGGTGGATTTTAGGACGAATTCTTGGCCATTTGAAGTGGGCTTTGGAGGTTTGGGGTGGGTTTAGAGAGAGATTTGAGGGATTTGGGGGGGGGTCGCTGCTGGGTTTTGGGATGGATTGAGGGGGATTTTGGAGGGATCCCTGAGGAATTTTGTTGAGGATTTGGGGCATTTTGGAGTCCTCGGATGGAGTTTGGGGCATCTCAGGTGGGATTTGGGTGATTTTGGGAGGTCCCAGGTGAGCATTGGGGGTTTCTGGATGAGTTTTGGTGGAGATCTGAGGGATTTTGGTGGGTCTCATGTGAATTTTGGGGTGAATTGGAGGGATTTTGGGGGAGTTTTGAGGAGGAATTGGAGGGGTTTTAGGGGGTCACAGATGGCTTTTAGGGTGAATTTGGGATATTTTGGGCATTGCTGGATGGATTTATTTCATGATTTGGCGGCTTTTGGGGATCCCAGGTGGGATTTGGAGGGTCCCAGGTGGCGTTAAAGGGATCCCCGAGGGATTTTCTTGAAAATTTCAGGAGCTTTGGGAGTTCCTGGGTGGGTTTTGGGGTGAATTCTGGGGGATACCAGGTCGGCTATGGGGGTTGTGGATGGGTTTAGAGGGAGATTTGAGGGATT